GGGGGCGGACGAGGGAGCGCTGTCATATCGGATGGCCAGCGATGAGGGGGAGAGAAGCCGCCCCCAGGACAAGCTGTGTCGGCCGCACGGCGCCCTTGTTGCCATGGCGCCCTGTGCGGCCGCATAGCTCGCACACCCCTAAGGCCGGCCCTGGGCCCGACTACATGTATGATGCAAGGGATGGCCAGACTACTGGCATGATACAAATAGGGTACAGGCATGGAACAGGAAATGGTCAGACTAAAGGCAAACTACAGAAGATGGTCTTACTACAAGCATGCTACAAGAAATGGTTAGACTTTAGGGCCTGTTCACACGATGTTCGTTTTGTGTGCTGACCGGATCCGTACGCTGCTGCACTCAAAATGCATCCCAATGTATCCCTATGTGTTTTATAGGCTACAGTTCTCACGTGCGCAGTCCGTTCAGGTTACGACAGGAAAATACTGCATGTCACATTTTGTACCGTTAGGAAACGGTCAGGAAACGCAAACGCGTCCAAAACGCATCAAAAACGCACTGCTTTGCAGCTAACATACTAACAGCCCCACTCCACTGGAACGCATCAAAAACGCACTGCATCAGTCTGCAGATCCACACCTGATCAGGACCTGATATCATGTGAACCGGCCCTTAGGCGTGCTACAAGATATTATCAGACTATGGGCATGCTACAACTAATGGTCAGACTACAAGCTTGCTATAAGATATAGTCAGACTATGACCATGCTACAAGAAATAGTTAGACTTTAGGCATGATGAGATGTTAAAAGACCACAGGCATCATGCAAGAAATAGACTACGTGTATGGTGCAAGGGATGGTCAGACTACAGGTATGGTGCAAGGGATGGTCAGACTACAGGTATGGTGCAAGGGATGGTCAGACTACAGGTATGATACAAGAGATGGTCAGGCTACAGGTATGATACAAGAGATGGTCAGACTACAGGTATGATACAAGAGATAGAGTACAGGCATGGAACAAGAAATGGTCAGAATAAGGGCAGGCTACAAAAATGGTCTTACTACAAGCATGCTACAAGAGATGATCAGAGAGAGTATGGGCATGCTACAAGAAATAGTCACACTAAAAACTTGCTACAAGAGCAGGTCAGACTACCGGCATGCTACAAGACATGGTCAGCGACTACAGGCATCCTTCAAGATATAGTTAGACCTTTGGCATGCTACAAGAGATGGTCTGAGACTGCGAACATGCTACAAGAGATGGCCAGACTAAAGGCATACTACAAGTAATGGTCAGACCACAGGCATGCTAAAAGACATGGTTAGAGACCACAGGCATCCTACAAGTAATTGCCAGACTACAGCCATGCTACAAATCATGGTCCGAGACTACAGCCATACTACAATAGATGGTCAGAGACTATGGGCATGCTACAAGTAATGGTCAGACTTCTGGCATGCTACAAGAAAGAATAAGAGACTAAAGGTATGCTACAAGAGATGGTGAGACTGAAGACATGTTACATGAAAGGGCCAAAGACAATGCATGCCCAAAAATGCTATAGGAGTGGTTGGATACCAGGGACATGCTTTATGAGCCAGTCATAGACTAGATTACATAAGATCTTCTCAAGCTAGATGCTTCTGGACTCCCAGGACTCAAGGCAGCAGACTACCAAGCTCCTGGATCATGCAGGACACTGACACTACTGGACAGTGTCCAGAATCCCATGACTGTTCTACAGATTCTGGAACACTACAGGGTGGTTGAGGGAAGCCAAAATGGCAATAACAATGAGCGTACATACTGTAGATATCAATGGTGTAACATGTGCACAATGGGGGACAAAGGGTAATGGCAACATGTATTATTGTGTAAAAAAAACTTTGCACAGGGTATATGCCGATTCTTGTGTGAGGTCCCAAATCTAGTATATGTCCTTCTTAATGGAGGACATTTAAAAATTACATTTTAAAAAATGAATGTCTTTTTAGCTACGAGCCTCATATGCAAATTAATACACCAGCTGCAGAGGATTCTGGGAGGAAAGACTGACAGCCATTGTTTTACTGCATGTGGCTGTGTTATTCCCGAGGTAATTTTTGTAATATTTGGGTAATCAATGAAAATATGATTTTTATAGATATATTTTTTAACATTGAGGATCCCATTTCTGCTGAATGAAGCCAGCTTTCCCCACTTGTATAGATATATGGTAACACACTTAATCTTGTTTTCTCCCACCTATGCACTCCTTGCAACCTCTCCAACACCCCTTTCCCACTCTACTAGGGCTCTGAGACAAGTGTGACTTTTGTTCATGCTTAGTGTGGATATAATAGGTTCATCATTGAGTCAGGACTCATTACTTTGTAACACACACTAATGCCAGCTTCTCTCATTGGAGGCAGAGCCAACAGCAAGCAGAGATCGGTTAAAACATGGCCTCCAGCTCACATTGTGAACTCTGTGCAGCTGCCTAGCAGGGGAAAATGGCGAAAGAGGGGCGGCTACCTGCCACTCAGTTCAGTGGTAGACAAAGTCAGCAAGGGGCCCCCTGAGCAGGCATTGGGGGGAGTTTATCAAAACTGGAGCAGACAAAATCTGGAGCAGATTTGCACTGCAACCAATCAGCTTCTATCTCTCATTTTCAAATATCAACTGAGCA